TCTTACTCTGAATCCCAAGGCAATTGTGGACTGGGACCACGTCGCTGTAGATACATGGATTTGGTAGGAGGCCTGGGAAGGCATCAGCAGCCCCTCAGTACCCCTTGCTTCTTGCTACAGTGCTGGCAGCTCCTGATTTTCTGCTGCCATGCATGGCTAAAGAGAAGCAAACAGCCAGCAGCATGTGTGTGTCCAGCTGTGCCCTGGCACTTTTGCCTAAAATTGGATTCACTGCCCCTTTGCTTTGGGACATCAGCCCTGACTGGTCCAAGCTGCCAAGCCGGAAGCTAGTGGGATGAAAAGCACCTTGCTCTGAGCGCAGCAGCTCTCTGGAGGTACAAAGTAACGCTGCAGCGTAGTCTGCTCAAACAGAGGTTCACCTGCTGGCCAGCTCCAAGTATTTCATACCCACCCTCCATAACAAATAAGAACAAAATGTTTGGGTGTTTGAACAAAGGACAATGTGCTTGTGCTTCCTAAGCAAGTCCAATGGCCATTGGCATGTCCGGAATAATCAAGACACTGCCATTGTGTGAGCTGCAGTCAAAATGTAGCTTTAATTTAATCAAAATAAGTTTAACCCCAGGGCAGTTCATTGCAGGGAAACTACAAGTGATACCAGCTATTATGTTAGAGCCCTGTGCTAGCAGCTCATGCCAGCTCCCAGGAGGTTCAGCTCCCTGTTGCTCCTGCTCCCTCTGAAGTCCACATGTTTGCAATAAGGCTGGGTTAGGTGTTCCTCCTACAGCCCTTCACTTTATCCAGATACTATCAGATATCTACATATATACACACTGTATATACATATACTATCCAGATACTATCAGATACTGTATTTCACATCTTCTTTGAGTCAGAGGTACTTCTGGGATGACTTTGCAGCACTGGATATAAAGGCCACTCAGCTACATCCAGGACTTCTCAGTCAGGGAAAGCTGCTCTCTTGGGTGGAATTTGGGTCCAAATAGCAGAAAGAAAATGCTTCAGAATAAAAATTAAAAAAAAAAAATCCCTGTTACTTGGACAGTCCATCTCCTTTTCTAGACAGAAATGGGGCCCAGCTGATTTAAAAATAATGCATATACTTTGTTTTTGAAAGTACTAATATAACAGGTCTTAGCCTGTTGAGGAAAGAGTTGAGAACAGAGGAAATGAATGGGCATGTTTGAGAGTTATGAGTAACACTCTGTGTTGTCCTGGTCTGAGACTGGTGAAGCCCTGCCTTTGCCCTGGAAACCTTCCTGTCTAAAGGTGAACTAATGCTGAGAATATTGTGAGAGAAGAAAGTAGGAAGTGAGGATGAAGAACTATGTTTGGAGTGAATCTTAAAAGTTTTTGAAGTCTTTAAATTGAGACTGAGGCATGTTAAGATGGAGTAGGCAGCCTCAAAGTGAGACTCAAAAGGGAACAGCTGGAAGAAGAACAGGATTTGGAGCAGAACAGCTACAGGTGCTTGGCTCGCAGGCAGAGGGATGATGTTACCAGCGTAGGAACAGTCTGACGAGCTCTGGCAGTAGATGTGGGAGGGACAGGTCTGAAATGTAGCCCAGATGCATGCACAGGAGAGTGCCAAGAGCCCTAGGATTTAGAAGTTACACGCTAGATAACACCTCAACATCTTCAAATCCCCTGCAAGAGGCAATGATGTGGGAACTTGGCTCACTTCACTTGTGATGCCTCTGCTGCAGTCAGTGGATTAGCCAGGGGATTAGCCAAAGCTGCAGCAATATGCAGCGACTGAAAACGTAGAAGCCGCACAAGCCTTGGCTGCAAAAAAACTGTAGAGGCTGTGTAGTACAGGGCAGAGCTTCCTATGGGCTCTACTGAAATGTGAATAATGTTAAGTGTCCAGAGTACGGATGGGACTGACAATTTCTCTGAAACCTGCCTGAGCATTTCAGTAGTGTTTTGTTCCTTCTTTTTCTCTCTCATTATTATCCTGGATGGGAGGTTTCTGAAGTATTTTACTAATATGAATAAATATTTACTTCACTGTCTGGAGTAAGGACCCCAGTTTGTTCAGCGCTTTCCATTAGCATGAGGCAGACGCTTTCCTCCTCTGGGCATTTCACATTGGCCATCAACTTTGTTGCCAAATGTCAGTAGTATGTTGAACACTGACTGAGGATGCTGCGACTCCGAGAGGAGTTAGAAAAGAGGCTCTGGTTTCTATTTTGAATCGTTTTGGCTATCCAGGCCCTCTTCTATTGTTGGTCAGGCTTTTTTTTTAATTTAGCAGAACCAAACGGAGTGCTCTCGGGAAGCTGGTTTTAAGCGACACCTGCGTGGTTGGCTGTATTGGAGTGATCGCTGCAGGCAAATCCCACAAACATGCATAGTTCAGTATAGTTGTTTCAGCTGGAATCTGGGCCCAGCTATGCCCAAGTTGGCACTTGTTACAACTGGGGGCCTGTTCTTACCACTGGCTTGGCAGGGAGTGATGGCTACACTGAGCAAAGTTGCTCTTCCAGTTCCTGTGTGGATCATGGCTTAGCCAGTAAATGCTGGATCAGGCCAGAATAGGTGGATAGTCTCATCTGCATCCTGCCACCCCTCCTGGTTGTGGGATAAAGTGGAGACCACCTGCCCCCTTCACCTGTGTCCACTGAGCCGGTGTACAGAGGGAGACGCAGCAGCAGGAAGAAAGAGCTGACCTCAGCAACGGGACAGAAGCACGGCTGGGGTGGGGTGGCTGAGGACCCTGTGGATAAATACATTTTGGACTGGATGCCTTCTGTGAGCAGCCTGTAGCTGAGCTGCATGGATGCTTCATCTCTTTCTTTTGGACAGGTAGAGAAACTCTCTATGCTCAAGTTCCCATTTCACGTTATAAGCATTGATCAGCAGAAAGATGGAATGTAAACTCTCCATTTTAGAATTGCTTTGGTAATATTACAAATGGTAATATTTCCTTTTAAGATAGAGGACTATGAGAGAAGAAATAAGATCGAACAATGGCTTTTTTTTTTAACTAAAAAAGCTATTCTTATTTAATGATTTTAAAGTTACTCCATACATAATAACAAACTGTAATGCAGCTTTGCAATAAAGGTTCTCCTGAAAGCACAACCTATCAGCAGAACAGCTAAGCTTCAAAACACATTTTCACTTTCTAAGACTATACAGTGAAAAAAATGAACAAGGAAAACTAGGAGTGTCCCAAACAACACAAGTACAAGATAGGTTCAAGTGGATTATTTTTGGCAACTGGATATTGGTTACAACACGATAACTACCCTTCCTCTTTGTCAAACTAAGGAGACTTTAAAATGTAATACCAGAAATGAGGCCTGGAGCCAATTCTGGGACTACTAAGGCTGTGCCAGCTCCCATTGGCCTTCCCGGGAATGTTCTGGAGACTCCAGAAGCAACATTACGGTGCCTAAGAGCAGCTTTTGCTCTGAGACAGTTACATTAAGACAACAAAACTGCACACACTGCTAAAATGTTTTTGATATCTGAGACAACAAATCCCACTGCAGTAAGGCTCATCTTTAGATACAGACTGGGGAAGGCTACCCATCTTGTGACTATGTATTTACTAGTAATCTGGTGTCTCATGCAAACACTGAAAATGTATCAAGGTGGGACTGCACTGACTTATCTAAGGATAGTGGTGTTTCTGCTTTAAAACCACTAGAATTGCCTGGAATTCATTATCTGAACTGAACTGTTCCTACCTCCCAGTTTGAAGAGTAGATTCCAGTCTGTGGACCACGGACAACTAGAGCTCTGCAACTTATTTTTGGGGGGTTCACAAAAGGTAATGAAGAAATATAAGTTTATATATGTTATGGGGCAGCCTGCATGTGGTTCAATTTCTAAAGGATTCCATATCTCTCCTAACAATTTTTTTAGAAATGCAAGTTGAAAGCTACTAGTTAGAACAAAGTGTACTACTGATGGAATTGTCCATTAAAACAGGATGTCATTCCTGGCAACTGCAGTAGGACCAACAGCTATAGAATAGAATTTGGAAAAAAGCCCCCTATTTGATCGAAAGTCAGAATTGCAATAGATGCAGGGAAATCCCAAGAACATGTCCTAGAAAAATAAGTGCTCTGTCTTCATTAAATTATGTGTACTCTATCTAGGTGTTTAAATATCGATTATTTTAAATTAGGCTGTTCTTCTTTCCACGTGTATTACAACACTTTTACATTAATCCTTCTGGAAGGGACTGGCCTTTTGAGACATGGCACATTTGCAACCTCAGAGATGAGCCTGATGGATTTTGGGATGCTCTCAGGATAACTCTGAGCCCGTCAACAATTAGGCTTTCAAGTTTGACTGGATATACAAGGCAAATGTATGAATTTACATTGCTGGGAATCCTCCTAGGTTTTGAAATACCATGTTGCATAGTTATTAGAAATGTTTTGTGGCATTCAAATTTTTCTACTGAGTATATACAATCCTTCCTTCCTTCTTAGAAGGGTCTGTTTCTTATGTTGCCTAAAAATGCTTTTCTCCTAAATGCCATATAACTTGATGCATTGTTTGTTACAGTTCTGTACATGTGCTTCTCAAAACAGCTGACTCCTGTATGCAAAATAATATCAAGAGGGAGAGCTAAAGTTTATGCAGTTAATTAGAGAAAGTAGTTTTGAAGAAGAGGATGAGGTTCTATGAGAACCATTACATTTGCTTCACGGATTGCTACGTAGGTTTCACAACCAAGTCCATGTGCCAAATTTAAGCTGGAATGAAACAAGAAGAGTGCAGCATCCAGTTAACAAATATACTGAGAAACAGGCAGTATATACAAAGTTATGTACTGCTTACCCGACGTGTACTTTTAAGGTGCTTAATGATGTCTTAGGGAATGTAGCAACATATACATATATGCAGTGTATACATATCTAAACGTATATTAGAACCATAATACAGAACGAGATATATCCCTCAGATTTCTGATTTCATTAGATTCTCTAAGTCTTAAAAATATATTTAAAATATTTCATATAAAATATTTACAAAAAATAAATGATAACCATTTACATAAAAATATCTCCAGTTTGTTGGCTTTTCTGTTTCACTGTTCATGGATTGGACTCCATTTTGTTTCATGATGATGCCATTTGAACTAATGAGAGTTTAAACAATTGTGCATGATGAGAGAGCTCTGCTACTCGGTCCACCATCTCCTGTAGGGCTACCGTGTTAGGGTAATGCAAGGCAGCCATCTTGGTAGCCATAACAATACTCTTTAGTAGTTCACACAACTGGTTGCTGGAGTTCATCACTTTGTTGCGTATGTCCTGAGTTGTCACTTGCCTTGTGAGCGTATCGCCAATGAACACAAGTTTGTGAGCGCTCAAAATGACAAATTTGCTGTGTGCAACAAAGATTCGTGGAGGTTGAGAAGCATTGAGGCAACTGAAAAAGGCATCAATGGCATTTAGGAGAGAGTTGAAATGAGTCTCACATTGGTCAGAATAGAATAAAAGCAGCTGTCTGTCATGAGAGGCAGCAGTGCTGTTTGCAGTTTGGAGAGCTTGAGGTGGCTTCCATTTTGAGATGTCATTCTCCACAGGCTTTGTGATCTCTTGCTCCAGACGTTGGAACTGATTGATCTGAAACGTAGATAAAAGGGCTTTCCATAAAGAACATCCTTCTAACACATTGTTCCAATTTATAGTTTGACCTGCCTTTAGTAGATCACAAAAACTTTTCACTGTGATCTCTTAATGCTCTTTGAACTAGGTACAATGATACTTTTTCCAAATTCTTTCTGAACCACTGCCTAGCATGCTCTCTGTTAGCTTTAGCACATCTAAAAGGTAGACAGTTAAGTCAAATTGTTCAGACTCCCTCTGAGAGAGCAAGTCACCTCCAATAACTTACATAACTAGTACAGGGAAGGCTAAATAGTGGTTTTCAAGGTATCTATCCTGCTTTGACTCTAAAGGGAGTCTAGGCAAGCAGAACAGACTAGACATAACTAGCTTTCAGACAAACATCTAGCATGTGCCGACATGTAAATGACTTTGCGGGGACACATTACATATATGTATATTAAATGTATTTTTAATTATCCCATATTACAACTACACTGCACGGCCCAAAACAACACTGGCTATCTTAGATTCATCTTACGCTACAGAAAAGCCACTATGTATGTTTTTAAAGAGTTTTCATTTTGGGGAGTGAGGGGTAACCAAGTACTTCCTACCATACCATAAATTTAAATGCACAAAGCTCGGAGGACAAAAAAAATCCTCTAAGATACTTTATCTGCATTTAAAAACCTCCAGAATTTACAGGCTGTTGCTCATTTGGAATATTCTGAAATTATAAACAAGAGAGATACATCCGAGTGACTGCCCCATTTGCAGTCTTTAGAAAGCTGCCACCTCTGTGGGATCTTGAGATGGCAAATCTTTAACTTTCAACTCCTTAGTGCTTTTAAAGCAAACAAAAATACACTGGAAATTAAAGACAGAACAGTTACAATTCAGTGATGATAAAGCTGAAGTCTGATATGTTCAGAAGGCAGGAAATGCAAAACATTAGGGGTCTCTTATCACCGCTGTCCCCACCACACTGAACAAATGGAACGTTCTCAGCTCCTTAGTTTGTTCCATTTGTAATCTTCTGCCACACAAAACGGCAACAATATATTGATGTATTACCGTCACAGTAACAACTGTCAATCTTAAGCTACCTGCCCTTTTAGCATTCAAAGTGATGTTAAGGGCACAGGATCTAAGGTAATTGTATTGAGATTCGCTGAGCGGATGCGCAGGCGGCACTTGTATTCAGTGTGGTCCCGTGATTAAGGCACTAGATTGCAGGTCAGAAAAGCCAAGGTCTTAAGCTGGCTTTGTGACTGACTGACTGTGAGATGTTCTTCCTATCTGTGGTAAAGTTTCGGAGACAAAGACTGCCTCTGATTATACGTATGCACTGGGCCTACCACAATGGTGCACTGTAATAAAAAGTAATTAGTCTCTTGAACTGAGATGGCTGGAAATTGTTTTCAAGGGAAAGGCTTCTTCCTGCCACAAGAGTTGCCATTCTAAGCAGCAAGAGCTGTGGCTCCGCTTCCACTCAGTTACTAAGTGGCAGCAAGTAAATGAACAGGGCAAAGATGTTGCTTTTTAGGACGGCTAATTTGGGTAAATACTCAAGCTTTCTTTGGCATAAGCAATGACTGCCACAGATCCACAGGGCTAGAAATGTGCCATAATCTTGATGCTTGCCATTTCCAATTTGGAGCATGACAGTGCATGTCCCTGTCCTTTGCTGTACTAAATCCATCAACGGTGGAGCTTGGCTGGCACAAATCCTACTTGGAAAGAAACCAGCCTGAGGTCACTGTTTAGCCAAGACCCAATAGCTGCCATCTTCACAGCCTGGTACCTGAGACTTTCCAGCTGTGTGTTCTGGCACTCCTGCACACCTCATAGTCTCATTGCTAGTAGCTACACACTGTTAAGAGAAGTCCTTCTTGCTGCATTTGACCAGAACTCCTTATGTACAAAGCACACTGCAATTCGATGTGATTGTTGTGCCTGACCAAACGTACCTGATGGTGCTCTAGCTCTGTTTTGCTCTGCTTGATTATATTTTCTTTTTCCAGTAGCTCCTTTTGTTGTCTTTCAAACTCTTCTTTCCCCTGTTTTGCATAAGATAAAAAGATACTGTGTTAAATCAAAACTGCCCTTGACTTATTTAACAACCTGTAAATTGACTAGCAGGCTTCTTTGTATTGGCTCTGTCACTGGTAGTGCAACCTTGAGTAGAGAGGAGAAAAGGATAGTGTGGTAGGGGCAAAAGGCTATTGCTACTATGTATGCAAAGGTCCTGTTTGAGAGCAAATAATCACTCTGGTGAAACTACTCTTGAACGTGTGTTAGTGCAACAATCTGATTATCACTTCTGCAAACAGCTCTTGCAAAAAGAAGCACCAACAACTCTTTACTTTACCTTGAGCAGAACAAGCTGTCTGTTTTACCCACCTGCAGGTGAACATAATCATAGTCATCCATCCAGCTCTTTTCTGAGTTCTCATCAGTAGTACTGTGAGGGTGCTGACCTTTACTCAGGAGCGGGGAAAGGGAGCTACAGTGGTTTTGTGTTTTCTCTCCATGCTGCTGCATGTGAGGATTGTTATATACGTATTCAGGAGTGTTCATGATGTTCTCTGGTACATTTCTGACACGTGAGCTGCTCAGCACTTGTCTGAAGAGTACCTCTGCATTGATGCTGATGGTGGTGGTCAGTTGCTTGGCATCATCTGGGACTGTCCTTGCCACCATAACAAATCGATCTAGGTCATCGCACTTGTTCTGCAGTCTGTTGACAGCTAGGACATTCAAAGACCAGCTATAGCTGTTCAGATCATGGCTGGTTTGTGTGAGGATCTGGTGAGAGTCCTCCAGCCTCTGTACCTCCCTCCTCATTTTGTTATACAGGCTGACCTCAGACAGACAGGAAGCGTTGGCTGCTGATCCTTTCGCAAACTGAAGGTACTCCAACAGCGACTGCTCTACCTTATCCACAGCAGTACGAATTTCGTTGATGTGTTTCTCCATATACCCATAAGACCGCCAGTCTGCAGTAATGAAGGCCATGAGGTTATTGACAGCTGCCTCCATCATCTGCTGAAGGCAATAAAGCCTCTCTATAGCAGTATCTGGATCAAGGATTAGTCTTTTGTCCTGTGCAGTTGATGCTGAGAAAGAAGAGTCTTTCGATGTTGTTGAAGATGTGGACATGTTACTCCTGGTACTTCCTGTGCTGGAGAAAGACAACCTATTTATCCCATCAGTCACATCCTGTAACCCTTTAGTCTCTTGTGGAATTGGCGGTGGCACGTCATATACACCTTCTCTTCCTTCTGAGATTATACCTTCACTTAATCCTGTCTGTTGTCCTGTAAAGGCAATCCCCCGTGGGGTATCATATACATCTTTCTGAGGTGCAATCTGCTGTCCCAGAAATTGGTTTTGATGGTTCACAGGGATGTCATACACACTCTGTTTGCGTGGCGCTCCATCAGTTGATAAAAGGCCCTCAGAAGAAAACTTTTTACTAAGTTCTTTCCCAGTTGCTTTGGTGACAGGCGGAGGAATATCATATACTCCTTCTAGTCTTGCACTGTGGCCCAGTGGAGATGAAAAATCCTGCATTTTTTCCCTCAGGCCTGTATCATCTCGGCATGCAGATGGAGGTGTAGTATAGATCTGAAACACAGAAAGCAAACCATGAAGCCTCTGACTAAAACAGCAAAATAATTTACATCTTCCCTATGGTCAATAAAATGCTGGGCTGGAAGATGTGCCAATGACTTTCATTGAGTCAGATATTTATCCTGAGTTTGACAGAAGGTCAGTTTTAGTATCTTATTAACATTCATCTTGATGCAAATTCTCATAAGCAGTAAAATCTCAAAAAAGCAGTATGCTGCCACAAAGATAACCTAGTTCTAATTACTAAGTCACACTCCATAAGGTTAGGAATTCTGACACAAAGCTTTGCTTCATCCGCTTTACTAAACACCTTAAAAGCCTAAGGAAATATTTAAGTATTGAACCTCCTTCTCCTTCAGGATTATACATGAACTCTTTGTTTAAATAAGTCTTTGGTCAGACATGAAAATATAGCATCCCGTGGAAACAGCATGACACTTACCCCTTTGGTGGGTGGTATATCATAGACGCCTAATGCTTTTGCTTCTCCCATGGGAACTGGATATACAGGCACCTTAGCTGATGCTGGGGGAATGTCGTATATCTAAAGAAAGAATAAATCTGTTATAGAAACAAATCACCTCATGAGAGCTCTGATCTCAGATGACTTTTCTCGGTTTCTGTGTTTTCTCTCAAACAGCAGGAAGATCATCAGGGCTCCGCAGCTTTGTTTCATAGGGGAGACTTTCTTGAATTTGCCCGGGGTTTTGAGCACTTAGGAAGAAATACGCTTTTGCTAAGTGGACAGATGAAGCCAGGGCTGACTCAAGGGTTAAATCAGTGCTAGTCTATTACAGGTGCCTGTTGGGGTCAACGGGAGCAGTATGTTCATGTGACCGGATGTGATGATACACTCACCGATAGAGATTAGAGGCGTGGAGGAGTAAGCTTGTATTAGTACACACTGCTAAACTCTGAGACCAAGGCTGCTCCTGTCAGCATCACGTATCTGCTTTTTTGGGTGCAGTGTGGACTGTCTTACTGGCAGAGAGCGCAGCTGTCAGATGTTGCAAATGTCCCATTTGGTGGCATGTCCTACATCACAGCAGGTTCTGCGTGTGGTCTAAGGCAGCCAACGTTAGTGTCTCTTACTCTAGACTTCCTAACAGTTCCAGTCATTTGGAGTCAGCCTGGTGTTATGTACCATTGGGCTTCAATGTTGCTCCCTAGAGAAGCTCCACTGTCAAAGAGCCACAGAGAGATGCAGGGCTATTAAGTTATAGGTTCTCCAAGCATCCACTCTGGATGTCCATAGTCTTGGGGTCAAATGTCAGGTGCGTTCCCCAGCACAAAGATATATTTCAATTTAAATGACATGGTGCAGTAGATATATGGTGAAAATAATTGCCTGCATAGTAGCTGTTCATTTAGGAAACAATTTTGCCCTTATTGAGTGAATTACTGTCAACTATGCAACAACAACAAAGTGAAGGAAAAAAATGTTCCCAGGCAACACATTTATTCAGTTCAGATATTCTGTTTGATCAAAACATAGAAAACAAATGGGATTTTGGTGTTTGGTGCGCTGCCAGATCATACTCAACATCAAATACAACTTTGAAGTTCTTCTGCACTCTGTGAAAAAGCCATTGCATTATTTCTGGAAGGAGAGAACTTGCTCTGTTCATAAACTTCAGGTAGAAAGTTGCCATCTTTTGTGCCCCGTCAGTGCTGTTGGCAGTTTTATTGGTACTTACCCCTTGGAGAGGACGCACAGGGGGGATATCGTAGGTATCCTTCTGGTAGTTGGAAGGGAACTCATAAACATAACCTTGTCCTGACCTGACTGGAGTTATTACCTGTAGGTTAAAAAAGAAGGGTATGAACACCTAAGTCTTTGAAGCTCTTGGCATGTGCTCCCTGTAACTGTATAATGTTCTTGGTATAAACATTCCAGTGTTATTAACTTCCAGATTTTATATGGCAATTTTAGTAACACAAGTCTACCTACACTTCTGACAGTTAAAAACTGCAAAATGACTAATAGTAGCTACAAATGCATCATCTTTTCTTTCCTAACCAGTTCTGACAAGGCTGCTTGCTGGTCCTGTAACATCTCCGATTCATCAAGCACAGCTTCTCCAGCAGGGAGGAGGTCTAAGAGAGCTTCATCACTTCTTCTCATTGTCTACCCATTAGCACAGACTGTGATATGATGGTCACACTACCCACTGACTGAGTGAGATTAGGGCTCCCTGTCCTTCTAATCCTAATGAGGTGTTGAGTGTCCCCAGTTAATGACAAAGGCTTAAGATACTCTATGCCTTACTGTTTAGGCCCTAAAAGTCTTCTCCCTTTACTTGTGGAGGTATTTCCCATCTGCTCCAGCAGGACTTCTTGTGTGACTGTGCCCTGCAGGACAACATCCTGAATGGTTGAGTGAGAGCTGTGGCTCTGAAGATGCTTTACCTGGAAGGGCTATGCCTAAACCTATCGAAGTAGAACGTTTAACTGTGCTGTCTCCATCTGGTTTGCCTATATTAGGGGCCAAGAGATAGGAAATATTAAGGCACTCTCAAAGTACATAATGGAAGAATAATCTCTGAAAAAAGCTTAGGATTTACATTTTAGATGTTTTCTGAACCATTAACTACCATAATGACTTCAAATAAAATGTGGTCAAAAATAATTGCTTTACATCTTGGACTGCATCTGCGTGGCAGAATTTCAGTATAGCGTGGTACAAAGAAACGCTGTTACCTAACCTCCAGAAAGAGAGGGGTTTGTAGCGGAAATGCTGGCATCTTAACCTCTGCCAATGCTATTTAGCTCTAATAAGGAAATACAAATACTGTAAACCAAAGGCATAAAATGACAAATGACATAGGCCCATATAAGGCCCAGTGGTTTCATGCTCAGCTGGGGAGAATCCTGTAAGAAGATTACTTAACTATCCTTGGAAATGCATGTAAGATATAAAACAGTTTATCATCACATGCTCAGTAAAGATCCTGTAACAGTTTTTGCTATAAGAAATCCTAGCATCCTGGCTGAATTCCCTAGAGACTTTTGCTTACCTGAGGTCTGCAGAGAAACTCCTTGATGCTAACCTGCTACCCCTCTCTGCTATGTTAATGACATAGGCTTTTTTCTTTTTACTTGCCAACCCAAATATTGCTGTGTAATCTTTGATCCTGTACCATGAAACCGGATTTTCCCCCTGAGGTGGCTGTTATATTAGTTCAGAACACAGATCTGATTCAATGCGAGCAGCCCAAGGTGATGTGCCTTGTAGCACCCACCTTTGCACTGCCTGCGTGTGCCTTCAAAGAGCGAGGAATGTTCATGTCTGGCAGGTGGGGGAAGATGGCATTTTGCAGCTGTTTTTCCATCAGAAGACAGGGAAGACAGGAGCTGAAAGCTATATGATTTTTGTGGGATTAACAGGGTTTACATACATATGAATTCTTAAAAAAGAACGTTAAAAATGTACTGAATTTATACAGATGGTTCCTTTTCCACAGTCACTTACTACATTGTAAAAAAACATTTACAGAGGAACAATTAAGAAAGTTCTCCCTTAAGTTCCTGGAAATTTCCCACAACGGATCACCCCAGACATTATCCCTCCCAGGCCACTCTCATGTAATACTGGGGTTATGTTGTTTGCTTGAGGAACTTCTAACTTACTATCAGCTCTTTTTCACATGCTTTTTCTGCCAGTGAAGGCTAGAGATCAGGCTAGCGTAGCCTGCAGTTTGTTTTTGGATCTTTGTTTTCCAGTAGGGTGCCGCCAAATGCTTTCCACCCAATTTAGGAAAAGAAGGATTTGTTTTTAAGCAGTGTTTAGTCTGAGGTTCCCTTCAGGGGTTCCAAAATTACAACCACTGTATTGCTTCAATAATGAGTCACTGGGTTTTTAAAAATGATCCTCCAGGAGGACAGACAATGCAAAGGGAAAGCAAAGGCCTGTTTCCTGGGTAGCCCATCTCCATGAATCGTTTTGCTACTGTGAACACTGTGGCACCAGGCTGTGTGCTAATGGGCAGGGAAACTGTTTGACCATCACAGAGGAAAAAGCAGACTGTTCATGGAAGGCAGCCAGAAGCCCCAGGGACGACTACAGCACTGCTGAAATCCAGCTCTGCTTTAACTGCTGATTGTTGCCTTGCAGGATAAGGCCAGGAGTTGGGCTGGGTCAAGCTCCAAAAAGATGAGTATTGGTCCCTCAGTCTGAAATTGCAGATTTTATGAGCAAGAGTAAATAGCTCAGTTGTCACCTGCTCCAGGAGTTGAACTCTATTCTAAATCCAGATTAGTAGTAAAATTTGACCAGCTCACATCCAGACCAAGCATGCGTGATGCCTCTTACAGTCCTGCAGATGATCTGTCTGTGGAGGCAATGTCTAGCACCTCTGTAGAAGCTTTACTGTCCCTCAGTTCTTTAGGATTTGCACAGCACTCAGAGATGTGCTTCTGTACAGGCTCAACACTAATTGTCCTGCCTATCTCATGCCTAAACTCATTCAGGATCCAAGAACACTACTACTCTCTCCTTGCTGAGAGGATGAATTTCAATGAGCAAACTCAAAGAAAAGTCAGAGGCCTCTAACATAAAAGAGAATGTGAAGCAACGCAGGTAATAAGGTACCATGTAAAAACTGTTGTTGTTGCTATAGGTAAATATAATGCTTTGCTTTTGAAATAAGCCCAAATGGCAAAGGAAATGATATACTTGTGCCACGGGGTCCGGAACATATGTGGAACAGAAGCTGTACTCATGTCCAGTTTTTATAGAAAGAGCCCCCCCATTCACTCTGCCATACAGTAGTATCATGCAGCTGCAGTAATTCTTGTAGCTCTTCCTTAGGGATCTTTCCCATTTTTTAGAGAAGGCTGACATGCCAGATGCTATATGAAAGGCTTAAATAACTACAAGACTGCTGCTTTTATTTACTGTGCTGCTGTATAATCCTAAGTAACCTTACTCAGAGCGGTCAGACGAAGCAAGCCAATTTCACTTAGTGCTTCAAGACCTTTCTTATCATATGTTTTACCACCTTCGCTCTTTTCCAGACTTGGCTAATCTGAAGTGGTCACTTGTCTATTTGAGTGGAACAAGCCCCTGTCCTGGATGCTTTTGTCTGTTGTCAAAGGTAGTGAGAGGGTAAAATACTAAGTGCCTGTTTTTGCAGCGTGCACAGCCTGCCTGTATAGAGGACCGAGAACACAATATCTGAGTATTCTGCAGAGCTGTGCTTAGCAGTGCCCTCTACTTAAGGTGGCATTTATTTTCCAAACAAAACGCATGCATGCCTTCTCCTTTTTAGGCTTCTGAAATAGTTGCACAAAAGACAGAAAAGAAGGTTCTAAAAACACCAGCAAAACCCAGCAACAACCAAGGTTTGCTGATAACATGAAAGCCAACTATGGTTTCCCAGTGACTCAGGTGTATTTTCCTGAGCGGAAGATTATTATCAAGCAACAACATGTTCTGAGCGATTTCATCATCAAATTCTCCATAAATGCTGAAAAGGTCTGCCCTTCACACAAGAATATTTCCCACTGTACCTCCAGTCATCTTCTCTTCTGACACTGTTCAACTAGGTTAAACATGCCTTCTGCTGGACGGCTTTTTCCTAGTCAATTCAGAACATAAGCTGCTCATCGCCAACACACACCTTGAGCAAAGATTTTTGAACAGTAATTGAAAGAATACCCATGCTAATTGATGAATTGAAAAGATTTCTTCTGATTTCTATTTCTTCTGATTCTCATGCCCCCAAGACACTAGTAGCCTCACATGAGAAGCCAGGACATGTGGTTGCACTGGTTCTGTTGTATGAGGAAGAGGGAGGTAGCTAGGTAGCTGAAGAAAGAAAGGCACTGAAACCAAGATTTTCAGAAGTAACTTTTGATTTGGGGTATTCATCTATAAAAACACTAAATGAACTTCCTGTTTCCAAACGGGATGCTTAGCCCTTTCGGTGTATTGTTGAACCTCTCCCTTTCTATAGTTTTGAATGCTTGACGGCCGTTCAATTTTCAGAAGGAAGGAGATGGCTGCTAAAGAAAAGTTCCCTTTTCTCACTTCTAGAACAGGGATAGCCGCTCTGCCTAGTGTTTAGGAATTTATTTTCTAACAAATGTCACTGAACTTCAGACCATACGAGGATTTTTCTTCCTTTTACCTCTTCTCTTTTAAGAATGCCTGTGGTCATCTGGGTTTAAATAATCCTGCGTTTCAAACCAGCAATTTTCCTTGTTTATACATTAAAGGAAACAGATGGTGTTCCCACAAACTATCTAACCCAGCATTCTCAAAACATCATAACCACTTAATCCATGCAGAGCAACAGGGACCAGGTTTGGCTCTGGTGAAACATGTAATGAGCCTGCTTCAAACTTTCAGTACTGGAAAACAAAGACAATTGAGTAGAAGGTTTGTTCTGTTCTCGCCGAACACCATGCTCTTCCACAAGCAATTACTTGGGTTCTTTCCATGCCAATTGCAAGTTCTTGGCCAAGAAAAAGAGCTGAATGTGCATGTACTTTACAAAATATTCAGTCCTGTGGTTCATTAAATCCCTCTTCCTTAAATATAAGGGGAAAGTATGTTTCTTCCAGGATTAAAATGGAAGTTAGGCTATAATAAAAGAACATTGCTAAGGCAGCAATAAGACAGCTCTCTGCTTAATGCAGACAGACAAAACCATACTTTACACTGTTTAGCTAGTACAAAGGGGAAATAAACCTACTGAAGCCAACAGAATTACTCTAGATTTACAACAGTATCACAGAGGGCAGAATTTGGTCTGTTCCTATTAATAACAATGCTTGATATGCAGAATGACAGGAA